CACCACGCCGCACTTGCAAAGCGATGGGCGGAGCGTCGGTGGGAGGAGGCGGGAATCAAAGTACGCAAACACCGAGTCTCACTTTTTTATTCCGACAATACATAGGTTTCTGCACAAAATAAAACAATAAAACATTTCACATCACACCACCTTTAATCATTGTAGGGAATTTTTTCGCACTCACTGTCTTGCTCAGCGGCCTCAGCCCGTCTTGTGACTTGCGGGGGTGTTCGATTCAAATTCGAATCGCCCACAAGTTGTAAGTAAGGTAGCGGCCGTCAGAAAAGAATTAACTTGAACCCGCGTTAGGTTGGATGCTGGAACATATTCTTTGATTAATTTTGCTGGAACATGTTTTCTGATTAAAAACTATCTTACCGTCTGAGCCAACGGCTTCTGTGCGTCCAAGATTCATTTTAGCATTTTCCGCTTTATTTTTTGCCTCCTCTGCGGCTTTCCTTCTCCCCCGAGTTATTGGCGACTCTGAATTATCAATTTATTCGATATCACTGATATAGACTTTCTCACCATTCGAGCCAACTGCCCATGATTTGTCCATTTGATAGTTATTGCTGTAATTTAATGTTTTTGAAAACGGATAGCAATCAGAAACAGATAGAAAGAGACAGATAGATGAGATCACAAAAAAAACTCGGAAAATTGAGAAATTAGGGTGCAAAATTGAGGAAACAAAGATTCCAGCTCACGCTCTCCCACAGAACAATTTCGAACTGCAAATTAATTTTTGATCTACAGAAAAAAGTTTCGCGCGATCACAATTGCAGGTCTAAAACCATAATTTCAGAATTTTTTATCTGATTTTGTGGAGTTCCAAGATGGTTCAAATGATTCTTAAAATATTAATTAGTGGTTATAGATTCATGTATGGTCGTTTTCCGGGAGAAAAAATGTCAAAAATGATCACTTTGAAAGTTTTTTACAGAAAAAATCTATCTCTTCTTTCAGTTTTTGACATTTCTAGGAGTTCTATAGCTCAAAAAAAACGCAATTATTTTCTCTACATTTTCTATGGACGAATTTTTAATTCGTCTGATAAAACTTTTTTTATAATTTAAAAGCCTCATGAAATTGCACAAAATATCATTTTTGCGTTGTTTTTTGATTAAAAAAAGTGCTTTTAAAGAAAACGAATCAAAAAAGATTCCAAAAATCGACCAAAAATGCTATAAAAAACAAAAAACTAGGAGAAGAATCCAGAAAAAATCAATCGGGAACGGACTCCATTGAACAATTTCACACATGCGCCTTGAAGTTACTGTAGAAAGGAATTAAACAATTTCGCTTGTTTTAGCAGATTTTTTGCAGCAATTAAATATCACATTTGAATTCCCAGCCAATATGCTCTCGCAATTTTCTGAGATTCGAACAAAATTTAGAATTTTATAACATTCAACCTTGTTTCTAAGATTTAAACTGTTTTCCGCTCGAAATACTATCGAACAATTTCCCACATGCGCCTTGAAGAAGTCACTGTAGAATTGAATTCAGCCAATTTCACTTGTTTTAGCAATTTTTGCAGCAGAAGTTCAAGAGCGGCGATGTCCCGATCGTGCCGACGGCTTCTCACCGTACACATTCAGTCGTCCACCAACTGCTGATGATTTGGAGAAGCCGACTGATAAGAGAATGCTCGCGCTGGCTCGAGGAATGTATTATAGTGATTTCGATTTGGAAGAAGCGCATGCGCTTACTGCTATCGATGGTTGGTTCCTGTTTAGAATGCAGAATATCGTGGATATTTATCATCGGTTGGAGAAAGAGGATGTGACGACGGTGACTGGAGAATTGTTGTTAGAAGCGAAGCAAGCTGGAGTCTCGGATCGACAGCTTGCCAAAAAGATTGGAAGGTAGGCAATTCTTTGATTTCAAAATTGAATTTCTATCCTAAAATTTTCCAGCAACGAATACACGGTCCGCCAGGCGCGTTTCGCCAAAGGAATCACTCCATGTGTGAAACAAATCGACACCGTCGCAGGAGAATGGCCAACACAGACCAATTATCTCTATACGACATTCATCAGAGTCGAAGATGATGTTCGATTCAATATGAAGAACGCTGTAATGGTTCTGGGATCGGGAGTTTATCGAATCGGATCGTCAGTGGAGTTTCACTTGTCGTGTGTGGTATGGATTCGCGAGTTGAAGGTTTGTCCTCTAATAAACCGACATATCATTCAAATATCGGCTCCCGGACATTTCGCAACCGGACATTTCGCAGCCGCGACATTTCGCAACCGCGACATTTCGCAGCCGGACATTTCGCAGCCGGACATTTTGCAGCCAGACATTTCGCAGCCTCTGATAACGTCAGAAAATTAGAATTCCAAATTCTTCGGTTTTGAAAAAAATATATTTTAATGTCAGAAATTGAATTTTCGAAGAATTCGGCCGAAAAAAAACCAAATTTCAGCTGAAAAAATAGC